ATCGTCTTCATTGTCCAGCTGTTCCAGTTCATGTCCCTGAATTCATTCCTCCATTCTGGTTTATCCTGTGCAGTCACTTCGATATTATTGACAAAATCCAGCCTAGAAATTATCAACATTTAATTTAAGGCTTGTGTGTGTGTGTGTGTGTGTGTGTGTGTGTGTGTGTGTGTGTGTGTGTGTGTGTTTGTGTGTGACTTCTTTACCTGTGCGGAAAATAAGTAATTAGTTTGTATGCCTGAATAGGGTTAACAGATTCAGATTCACTATACTGCATTGAATCAGAACACACTGGGTTGAAAGAAGAAAATGGAACATAAACTACATAGAGAAGAGAAGCAGAGAAGGAAATGACAAGGATGAATTTTGACTGGTGTGACTACTCGCGATGACAAACTAGAGGACGACCTCGTGTTTTATATGATGGCTAGAACGGTAATATAATAGAGACGGACTGTATATTAGTCTATGCACACATCAGAAACATCTGCACCTTCAAGCTGGTTGTGCTGAATACTTGATCAAACAGAATTAAATTCTCTGTAATTTCACGAATTTCGGCGAATTTGAAATTATGTCAGCACGGTTCATTTTGTGCTGGCATGTTGTTTAACGTTCAAAGCTTATGTTCCATTATCCAAACGATTGTAATGATTTATGTTTATGATACATCGCGTTCGTTAAGTATCATAACACTTTTTTTAGATCCCTATAGTACGATTTTTCTTACAGATCATTTACGCTGCTTATCATTGGTTTTTCAAGCCCAGTTCTCTACTTTGCCTGGAATCTATCACGTTGTTAAGGGAGCAGTTCTAGCAGAGAATCTTGAAAAAATGTGATTTTTGAATTTCGAAACACATTTGGTATCAAATTAAAGATTAATCAATATCCTACACGTTTCTGTATAGATTTTAAAAATCAGACAAGTACTATCCGAGTAATGATGGCTCAAAGATGGTCAGGTCTTTCTGGTCTTGAAAGAAAAAAAAAAATCAGAAATTCGTGTTTTCACACATACACATATATTTAGCGACAATGCGAGCCTCCCTAACAATTTTCTTACAATGAACGATTCTTGTACGGAACAATCAAAATGGCGGCCCTTGTAGAAGAATGTTTACATTTTGTTTGTTCTGAAATCATTTGTACAAGTGATATTCTAAACAATGTCAAGTGATAAAAAGTATTGTAAAATTCAAGGAAGCGAAAGTTTCACTGGAATAGATTTATGAGTGCTACAAAGAGATGCAGAGAATTAGTTTTAAATCATACTATTGAGAACGACAAAAATGTAAAAATTGACATTCCTACACGTAATCTGTGGATATTTTAATTGTTATGTAGTAGTAATAATAGTGGAACCAGTACCAAAGTTGCCACATTCACAGTGCCACGCCCACTCACAGTCGGTCATCGATAAAAATCAAGGACCAGTATGGCATTGATGAAGTTCCAGATACAGATTTAGAAGAATGTGATGAGGCAAACACTTATCCTAAATGTGACAGTAAGGGCTACAGGATTGTTGACCTGGAAATTCTATGTCACCAGATTTCATCACAGCTGGTTTGTGCATTTTGTTACAACCAAGTCAGACTTACTGAACATGAAAGACAAGGACTTGGTAGTCAATTTGAATTTGTGTGCAGCAACCACAATTGTAAAAGACAGGCCATTTTTCATTCCAACTGTCAAATAAGTGTCAACTACAGCAGCAGCTTACAAGTACACTCAGTCAACAGGCAATCTGTTGCTATTTGCTGTGCAGGAAGTGACTGTTCGGACTTGCAAACATTTCGTAGAATAATGAATTTTCTGCCGTCTGTCTAGAAGTGCACACATAAACTAATAAATGATAGGATATAAAGTGCTTGAAGATGGTGACATAGACAGCTTTAAAACAATTTCTGATTCAAAGCCATACGGTGATACGTCTGTTATGAAGATAGAATGGGTCAGGCACGTGCAAAAAAAAAAAAAAAATAGGTACCCGACTTCGCAATATAAAGAATTTTTGGCGGAAGGGAAAGAAACTGTTAGATGAGAAGAATATTGGTGGAGAGGGAAGGCTTACAGACACACAAAGTGACTCTATTCAGAAATATTATGGGAATGCAATCAGAGGTAATACGAATGACTTGGAAGGAATGCGAGAAGCTGTTTGGGCGATATATTTTCACAAACTCTCCACTGATCAAAAGCCGGTTCACAATCTCTGCAAAATTATTTGGTTCCCATATAAAATAGCTGTTGCTACCAACACAGAAAAGGATTATAAACAAAAAAATTCCCTGCCTGCAGCAGTTAAGGATGTCATCAAGCTAGTTTTCAGAGATCTCTCGAACCCTGACCTGTTGAGAAAATGTCTAGATGGCTACACCCAGAACGCTAACGAGTCAGTCAACAGCACAGTTTCGCGACATTGCCCCAAACACAAGTACCGTGGATTATAGTAGCTGTTAATATTGCAGTTGGCATTGCAGTGAACATTTTCAATGATGGAGATAAGACCTAGAAGCACCCCTGGTGACAATGCAACTATTGTGTGGACGTTTCACGTCAGAATTTTTCATCTCTACTGACACGTTACGGCTAAAAAACTCTCAGAAGAAAGCAACAGAAGCATCATTGGAAGCGAGATTTGCCAGAAGGAGAAAGCGACTTGGATTAGAGGAGGTACAAGCTCAATCCGAAGGTTTTCCTTACTTGACAGGGAGTCACTGAGTTAAAAATCTACAATATTTTCTAAAACAAATTAACAACGTTTGTTGTAAAATTTTACATTTTTAAAAACTTATCCTAGTATAACTTTCTCAGATTTCAACTAATATGTATGAAATTTTGCATGCTTGTTCACATTATATCTGGTTGTAGCCTATTCTAAGGGAATTTCAATATCATGATTGTGTAAAATTTTATGTAATTTAAAATTTGTAATTTTCCACACACAAAAAGAGGAATATTTCAGGTAGCTTTACATAAAATCTATTAAATGTGTACTGTTTTCCATAGTCCGGGCTATAGTAACATCATTTTTGTATGTGCAGTTTAATTTTGAAGGAATTTGGCTGCACCATTTCCCTAAAAATATTTCCAAAGTAACATCTACATTTTGCATTTTAAAAAAATAAATTTTTAACTTAAAAATTTTTTTATCTCACATGTATATATTGAATTCTAAAGATGATTATTTTATATGATAGCCTGATCATAAGGTCATTATGTCTAAATATTTGAGAGTCCTATCTTTAAAACTGAATTTTGTATGATTTTTTTTTCTAAAGCCACTGATTCCCTGCTAGAACTGCTAGGCGGTCATTCTTTATTACACTGAATATTTGTGGTTTTTCCATGTTGTTGATGTCTATGATATTTTTAAGCACTTTATCGTTGTGTCTATTAATTGGTAACAACTATGTGGATCATATACCCACATCAAATATGGCCATCAGATACAAACAAGGTAATCTACTGTTATCCGAAGACCAGCAAAAGCTACAATGAGCAGAACATTTCAAAGAAATATTAAATAGCCTTTCATTGTTCTCAATCTGGATGAAGAAATTACTATTTACAATGGAAGAGATCAAATCAGCTATTAAAACTTTTTTTTTAACTTGAAAAATAACAAAGCTATTAGTGATGATATCTCAGTAGAAATTATTAAAGTAACAGATGAGAATAATTTACAGCGATTATCGCAATCTGGCAAAACGAAAATCCCCACCCCAACAGTGAAAAGATAGTGTAATTTTCAAACTGCCTAAAATGGTGATTCGTCTGATTGTAACAACTGGCGTGGCATACCCCTACTTTCAGTGCTAGGAAAACTCGTGTGTAGCTTGTTACTGGAAAGATTGAAACGGTTGCACGAACTCTGTTGCACCTGCGAGGATCCATAAATACTGGAACTCGATGCCAAGAGATAAGCTCTATGGCATAGCAGTCGACTGGGTCATGTGCAAATGCACAAACAACAAAAATACGATGTAGTAATGATATAGTGCTTTTGAGTTCAACGCACCCAGATATTCGAGAGAAAACAAACCCTCTCCAAGGTAGATAATAAAATAGGTCCCTGACAAGGACAGAACGGTCTCCAAATTAAAACCGCAAAAAACAAAAATTATTGACTTTACTAATAGTTCAGACGGCATCAAACTAAATGATCACATTCTTGAAAATGTCACCTGCTTTACACACATAGGAAGTAAGATCACGTCTATAAAGGACAGCGCTAGAAATATCATATAAAATCGCACTGCCATAAAGTGCCTTTACCAAACAGTCAAACGGCTGGAAGTCAAAGACATTCAGCAACTAAACAAAACTTGAGATCATCCAATCGTGTGGATTCCAGTGCTAACTTATGGATGAGAGAGCTAGAAAGCAACAATAGCTTGCTTTACAACAACAACAACAACAATAAAAAAGACAGTTTTGAAAACAAATGTCTTGGAAGAAATCTCAAATGGACAGATTTCAGATTCAATAAGACAATTGACCAAGAAAATGTATCTAATATTATGAGAAAGCGCCGCTGGAACTACATTGACCACGCACTCAGAATTAATAAGACAAGACTTGCCAATCAAGTCCTCATATGGACACCGGAAGGGAAAAGAACAACAGTGGAGTCCAAGAGAGACTGCGTAAAACCATCATTAGGAAACGCTAAACCATGGGCTAACAAACATCGAAGACATAGAGCTATGACCTCTGCCCTAAGCGCGCTCTAGATCCAAGGGCAAATACTAACTAATAATTGGTAATAATGTATACATAGATAACATTGTGTGCATACTCATCGTAGTTTCTAAATGGTAGCGTTACTGACGACAAAATTATGAATGACTGTGAAAGCCACAAATGTATGTTTACTTGTCTTGCTAAATCGATCAATCTACATGTAAATGACTACACGTAATCTTTGAATAATTGTACACATGCTTAAATTACTCTTCGCATCTGAGATTTAACTGCAATAATTTGTCCAG